AGGAGTTCAAAGTCATCCTCTGCTGTATATCAAGTTCAGGGCCACCCTGGGCTACATAAAAGAAAGAAAAGAAGATAGGAGAGAGTGAGAAAGGAAGGATGGGAAAGAAGGAACTGGTTCAGGCTGTTCTTCATGGTTGTGCCCTTAGTTCTAGGACACGAGATTTCTGTCTGCTTCTATAGACTTCCTTGGGTAAGAGAAGGACGAACATATAAAAATAATGTCCCAACCTCAATGGAATGTGCACATTCTTGATTTCTTCAACTGTTTCCTCCATGGTTAAGAGACTGATAAATGGGTTTCAACATGTTTGCAGAATGTCTTCCACTTTTCACACTCCCTGTCTCTCAAGCAATTACTGTTGTTTTCTCCCCTTTTTACATGGTCACACCCTAAAAGAGATAGTAGAGACAGATGGCAATCTCTGTAAGGCCACAAAGCCAGTAAGACATGCAACTGCAAACACAAGAATGTGTTTGCACATTCCTATAAATAGGAGGGGGCATCAGAATTATAAGGAGTAGGGTGGGTATACCTGCCCTGGGTTCCATTCCCAGAACTGGGGTGTGCAGTGTGCAGCTGGGATGGGTAAGTATTTTTGCAATTACTTCCTTCTAGACTCTATTCCTTCTAGTCCATCAGTCCAAGGAAGACAAAAGCTTGAATCCCTCCCTCCTTCCTTCCTTTTCTTCTTTCTCCCTGCTCCCCCCCCCAAATTTTTCAAGACAGAATTTCTCTGTGTAGTCCTGACTGTGCTGGAACTCACTCTGTAGAGCAGGCTGGCCTCTAACTCAGAGATCCGTCTGCCTCTGCCTCCCCAGTGCTGGGATTAAAGATTTGTGCCATCACTGAGCTGAAACATTTTCATCTTTGTATTCTGAGCACCTAGACCAGAGACAGGAGTGTAAGAGGGGCCTGCAAGGTAGCTCAGTGGATAAAAGTGCCTGCTGTCAAGGATGAGGACCCGAGTTCTATTCCCAGGACAAACTTAAGGGTTTAAGATTGATTCCCCAGGACCCACATGGTGCAAAGAGAAAAAAAAATCAGTTCTTGAAAGTTGTCATCTAATCTCCATGCATGTGCCACACAAGTGCCCCCACACTTATCCAATTAAGTAATTTAAACAACAAAGTGGTACCTATTTCTATTTTCTGACCCAGTAATTGCAAAAAATGTAATAATTTTTTTGATACAATTACCTCTGAGCATGCCTTTTTATAAGAGTCCTTTTCCTTACAAGTGTCCTTAGAACAATTTCAGTACCTTCATCTGGCTCAGTATTGAAGGCACCTGCTACCAAGCCCTACAACTTGAGTTTAATCCCAGGACTGTGGTGATGGAAGTGGAGAGTTGGCTCCTGTAAGGTGTCCTTTGACCTCCACACCTGTGCCATGGCATGCACTCGCTGTCCTCTACAAATAAATGTAATAAAAACATTTCTTTTTTAACATCTGAGAAAAACACTCCAAACTAGCCATAACTGAGTGTCTTAGCGGCTAATGACAGTTCTAAGCATCCCTATGTGAAGGCACAACAGATATCTTTGTGGGATTCATGAAATACCAGAAAATGCCACTTTTCGAAAAAAAATCTACTTCCCCCCCTGATATTAACACCTATGAATGTTGAAGGACTTAAAGTCTTGGATTCCTTCAGTAAAGGACAGAAATGATACCTGTAAACCTTTATTTTCCCATTGTTCTTTAAGAGGTTTTTTTAAAGATTTATTTTATTTTACATGAATTAGTGTTTTGTCCGCATATATGTATGTGCACCTATGTGTATATGCCTTTTGCCTGAGGAGGTCAGAAGAAGATGTTGGATCTCCTAAAACTGGAGTTAGGGATGGCTAAGAGTTATCATGTGGTGCTGAACTGACCTGTGCTCTTAACTGCACAGCAATCTCTCTAGCCCATATCCCAACAGCCTTGTGTATTGCATAGTGCCCATGAGAGGCGGGTAGATGCTTTTGTCTTTTTTTTTTTTTTTTTGAGACAGGGTTTCTCTGTGTAGCCCTGGCTGTCTTGGAACTTGCTCTGCAGACCAGGCTGGCCTTGAACTCAGAGATTCACCTGCCTTTGCCTCCTGAGTGATGGAATTAAAGGGGTGTACCACTGCCTGGCCAGGCGCCTTTCTCTTATCACTCTCCTCCTTAATGCCTTGAGAAGGGGTCTCTCACTAAACTGGAATCTTGTCAGGTTGGCTAGGCTGAAGGCCTATGAGCTCTTGGGATCAACCTGTCTCTACTAAGCAGTGCTGGGGTTACAAGTTTTCATAAGTCATGCCTGGCTTTTCAAGTGGAAGCTGGGGTTTGAGTTCCTGTTCTTATGCTTGCAGAACAAACACTTCTACCTACCAAGCCAGCTTTTCGCCCAACCTTCCTCCAGGCTATGCTAAAATGGGGGCTCAGCTGAGGCTAACCCACTGGGATAATACACGTTGCTTACAAATACCTTCTGTGTGCTTTATGTTAATGGAATTGGACTTGATGGTTGTTAGAAGCAGTTTCTTAAAATTCAGACTCTGAGAGGAGTGCCTGTAGGCCATGCTGTAAGAAAATGGAAGCATTAGGAATGTGTGTGTGTGTGTGTGTGTGTGTGTGTGTGTATTCCATGTGCATGTGTATATAAATGGGTGTGTTATGGCATGTGTGTGGAGGTAAGAGGTCAGTTTGCTGGAGTCAGTTTTTTTTCTTTTACCATCTGGGTCCTGGGGAATTGAACTCAGGTGGCTAGGTTTGGCAGCAAGTGCCTTTACCCACTGAGCCATTCCACCAGCCCAGGGATTAATATTGAAAGGCATTTATAATTGATGCTGAGTTCAAAGCTCCACCCTAGCACATTATCATGATCAAAGAGAGCTGTCAGTTTTTTCCCCCTCAGATATGAAGCTGTTATCTTGAGATAACAAACTGACAGGAATAGGATCAGGAAGTCACATTTTCATTCATTAGTACTTGAACATACATCTCTTGACTTCCAGACTGCTTCTCTATGCGTCTCTGTCACAAGCTTCCCAACATCTTATCAACTCACAGAAGCATACCTTATGGTCTAGGAAGCACCATGACATCCAGGTTATAATTCTTGAGGTTATCAGGAAATTGGAGTCTTTGAAATCATCTTGTAACCTTGAGCAAAAAGGTGAAGGCTGTCTACTTTGATAGATAGATGATGGGGGAAGTATCCTTTGATTCAATAGGCAATTTGTAAATATAAAACAGTTGCTGGAAAATTTTATTACAGATGAACTATCTCCTCCCTTACAATGTTTGCTTTTCTTTAATGCAATTGTATTCAAGCAGAAAGGCTCGGGAGGGCCCACATTCAATGCTGAGGAGAGGTTACTGGAAATGAGACACATGGAATGAGAAAATCAAGCCGTAGATTTGGAACAGGGGCGAACTGAGGCCGTCTGCTCAGCCCTGGGCTGTGCCCACGGGAAATTGAATTCAGAGCTCCACTGCATCATAAATCCAGGGCAGTTGGCAGCAATCCAAGGGAGACTAAAGCTCAACTCCAAGGGCATCTGACGCCAGACTGGCCAACCCCTATAATAATGCTTTCTGAGAGCCGGGCCCCAGCTGTGCTGGACTGGGATTAGGGTTCAGTGTCATGACTACATTCATTTACAAGCCTTATACTTTGTTAATTTTAAAATGCAACCAATCCGCAGGAAAAAAAGAGACTCCATTATACATCTGAGGGATAAAAGGCTGGAATTAATCCTAACATTCTGAGGATGAAGAAGGGTGGAGGTGCGGAGAGGCTGTCTTCTCAGTGGGCTCATTTTCAGATAATAATAATAATAACAATTATTATTATTATTATTATTTTGGACAGGTCTCTTTAGGTAGCTCCCTCTGGCTGGCCTGGAACTCACTATGTAGACCAGCCCAGTTTTACTTCATAGAGATCTGTCTGCTGGAATCAGAAGTATTCACCACCATACCCAACTTTTATTATTTTTAAAAATAAGTACTTAAAATTTTTTGTTTAGCTGGGTTTCATGGCATACCCTTTTAATCTCAGCACTTAGGAGGCAGAGGCAGGTGGATCTCTGAGTTTGAGACCAACCCTATCTACAGAGTGAGTTCCAGGAAAGCCAGGACAGGGCTACACAGAAACCCTGTCTCAATTTTTTTTATTTTATTCTATGTGTATCTGTGTATGTATATATGTGCACTGCAAGCATACCTGGTGGCTTATGGAGGCAAGAAAGCGTGTCGGATATTCTGAAATGAGTTACAGATGTTCGTGTGCCCCCATGTAGGTGCTAGGGATGGAACCGAAATGGTCCGGACAAGCATCCAGTGCTCTTAGTCGCTGAGCCGAACCATCTCTTCAGCTCCTTATTCTTTTTTCAACTTTTATTTTTTTTTTTAAATTAGGTATATATATGTGTGTGTGTGTGTAAGTGCAGGTTCCCTTGGAAGCCAGGGTATTGTATCCTTTTGGGAGCTGGAGTTACAGGGAATTTTGAGCTCCCTGGTGTGGGTGCTGGGAACCAAATTCTGGTTTTCTGCAAGAGCAGCAAGTGCCCTTAATAGCAAAACTATGTTCCCATACAATTACAGTGTGTATGTAATGTGTGGGCGCCCGTGCATGCTGAGGTCACAGTAAAACTATATAGTCCGTTCTCTCCTTCTGCCTTTATGTGGGGGGCCAGGTGAGCCACTCACTAGCTTTCATTTTAGATCTTTTCCCACTTCTCAGTGCACGCGCGAGTCGCAACCCTAGCCGGCTGGTTTGGTAGAGTGGCGTCCACGTGCCTCTGATTGACAGAGCTTCGTCTCCAGGATGCACTGGAGTGTGAGAATGCAGGTTTGAAGGAGCGTGCTGCACTGCAGGATCCAGGTCTCTGGGCTAGCAGCTTCTGCAGCTACTGCAAGGCCGGGCGGGGTTTGGAGGGCGGGACAGCTAAGCGGCGAGACCACGCCCACACCGGCAAGAGGGGGCGTGGCAAAGTATCACGTGACCGGGCCCGAGCAGTGAGGCCCCGCCCGGCTCTCCGAGGAGGCCCGGCTGCGACCCGGGCCGCGCGCACTGAGGAGCTACGAGGTTCTGCTCGCGGCCGCTTCTCCTAGTCCCGGCTTTCAGCTCAGTCGCTCCCGCCGGCTCCGGGCTCGCCGGCTGGCGGGGAGTGGCCTCAAGATGGACGAAGGCGGTGGCGGTGAGGGCGGCAGCGGTGAGTGATGGAGGTGTGGCCCGCTCGCTGGGCGGCCCTGAAGCTGGGGGTCGCGCTGTGGAGAGCCCAGGCTTGAGGCGTGGGGCCGGCTGTGGAGTGGGGTGGCGGCGACCGTGGGGAGGTGCGCGGGGTGAGGCCGGGGCTCAGGCTTCGCAGCCCTGGTGAGAGGACATGTCGGAGACCGCGGGGTCGTCTCCCGGAGCGGTCGCGGGTCGCGGGTTCGAGGCCGGGGTCTCCGCGGCGCAGCTCCAGATCGCCTTTCCGAGATAGGGGCACATTGCAGGGCGACCTTTCCAGTGTCTCGACGCCAAGGGCGTCCACGCCCTCCGGAGCCCAGCTGTTTCGGACGGGCCCCCGCTCCTTTTCGGCTCTCCTCAGGTGTCTGGAGCTAGGGAGCTGGTGGGAAATAATGGGGAGGGGAAAGTTTTCAATTTGGTTGGCTTAGGGGTCCAGCGTGGGAGAGGGGACAGGTTGGAGATCACGACCACGTCTCTGGTTTTTAGATCAAAAGTGTTCTCTGAAAATGGCTTAAATGACAAGAGGGGCAGGCAGCTCGAGACTGGGTCTGAGCATGCATTTTTATCAAATTGAAAAATCAAAAACAAAACAAAAAACCAAAAATGCTGCCAGGTAGTGTGAAAATAAAGAGGGGATAAATAGCTCTGTGATAGAATCCATGTCTGGCATTCCCAAGGCCAAGGGTTTGATTCCCAACACTGCCAAAAGGAAAATATAATTAAGAAATTAAAGGGATCAGATGGGATCGCTTTAAAGTCGAGGGTGGGACTCAGTAGTCACAGCCAGCACGGCTTAAGACTCCAGGACAGGTGCGTGTGGCACACACCTCTCCAAAAGTGGGTTACCAGTTCCCTGTGTTGTCAGGCTGTTTGTGCCTTACGTTCCATCCTGCTGCTGGTTGTAAACTACTCAGTGGAATACAAATTATTGTGTTTTCTTGTGAATTTGGTTTTCCAAAATCAGTAAGTGTCGCCGTGTGTGGAAGGGATCGCTGTCTGAGGAAGGCAAGGGTTAAGTACTCCTCACTTTACCCCAACACCCCGACCCCAAGTTGAAGCTATCTGGACTTTGAGTAACGATCTTCCTTTTTGCTGACAGAATGATCAGAATCCCGTGTAATAAGGGAGTGTTTATGGGGGAAAAAAAAAAGTCTTAATTACAGGCTGCTGGAGCAGCTGCCGGTACGGATCAGCAGTATTGAAGGCTTCCCGGTGAAGTAGTTAATCAAGGTGCCTTCTAGAATTCCAGAGCTCCCCTGAAAGAAACGAGGTGACTGGGCTGGTAGCAAGTTGGCACCACTTGTGGTATTTGCCAAGTTCAGTTCTCATAGTAAGAGCCAGGGGTAGCACTGTGGCAGCGAGTGGGTGTTTTGTTTGTGAAAAGAAGGAACCCAGTTACAAACCCTCCTACATACCGGCTGCCGGTCTGGAGACACTAGATCCCTGTGGATGCCTTGGCTTTTGCCTGTATCACCACACTTGGACATGGTAGCTTAGAAAAGACAGTGGCAATATTTAAACCTTTGACATTGGAATCCAGGAAGCTAGCTGGTTCGGTTGATTGCTTTGCAGGTGCTCCAGATCCTGTGAGTCAACAAAAGCAAAAGATTTGAAGGGAAAAGCAACTTCGGGTGGGTGGGTGGGAGAGATAACCCAACAACTTATAAGCAAATGTGTTTCAGCAGTTTTTAATTTGAGAATTATAATAAAGGACGATATTATATTATCAAAAGGGTTTAAAACTATTTCTGGGCTATTAATATCTCTTCTGGGACTATATCCCAGAGAAACACTCTTAAAATTAAAAATAGATGTTTTATTCAGTGATACCACATTCCATGATAAAAAGTAAAAAAAGTGAGGAACAGTGATGCCCATCAGGTAAGATTACTTTGACAAGACATTAAAAATAACCAATTAAGGGGCCTGCTGTCAAGACAGCCTGACAGCCTTAATTCAATCTCCAGAAGCCACATGGTGGAAGGAGAGAACCAACGCCCACAAGTTGTCTTCTGACCTCCATAGGCAAGCAGCAACAAGCACACACACACACACACACACACACACACACACACACACACAATTTAAAAAAAGTTACCAAGAATATGTAGTTATTTTATCCGTTCTGGTCTAGACAGTGTGAACACTGGTAGTGGTCTGGATTTTTCTTTTATATTTCCCAGGTTTCTTGAATAAGAATACATACATTACTTTTTAATTTGGAAAAACAAAAAACAACCCCAGCTTATAAAAGATGTATGTATTTTAAACATACAGTGTCTTTTAATTCACCATCCTGAACATTTGACAATGAAGAGATCTAATTGATTTTTCTACTGAAATGCCAGATGCCATACTAGGTGATAGAAAACAACTTTTAACTTTTACTGATTTTTATTTATTATCAAAATCTTTCCTCCTTACAATGTGGAAAGATACTTACAGATACTTTTGGCAATCCTAGAGTATTTAATTATGAATGAAGTGAAAATCTCCTATAATTTGAAATGTGAGTCATTGTATACTTATTGTATGAACTTGATGGACTTCCATATAACTTCTGATCTACGGAGGTTTAAAGTTAGCATTCAGTTCCGTGTAGTAATCCCATTTCCATTTTCAAAACCTGCTTTAAAAATTTTTTTTTTTTTAAATCAGCCCTTTGATAAAGCTGTTTCAGTTACCAGAGAGATACAAAGCATAGCATTATTTTGGCATATCATCAGAGTATGGGAGAGACCTTTAATCTGCCTCTTGGAACTCTGTTTCAGCTTGCTTAGAAGATAATAGTTAAATTTACTCAGATAGTAGTTATAGCAGAGGCCGAGGATAATTTAAAGTATCTTTTTAATTGTTTGTGTGTTGGTCAAGTAAAAAGGACTTAAGAAGTTGGTTCTTACTTGAGTTTTTATAATTGAAATTTTTGTTCAGGCTTTAATTATTTGTTCTTTGCAATGCAAGATAAGGAAAGGATGGCGTATGAATGGTTGGAAGGCGGTTACAAGGAGGAGCAAGTGGGGGTACAAGATTACAAGAACACATTGTTCCTTGTAATGTGTGCAGAGTGTAGTTAAGGTATTTTTTACTTCCTTTGGCACTTGGTGCCTTTCAGATTTTCTGGAGCAGTTCTTGAATTTAGCCTCTACTTAGAAAGTAACTGTCGAGTTTGGCTCCTTGCCACCACCTGACCCATATTTCTGAATGTGCAATTGGGGCAGATGAAGTGATGGGCTCGAATTGTACCCCCTGCATTCCCATCTGTGGATGCTGATGCAGTTTGTGTTCAAGCACTCTGAAGCACAGGACACTCAAATATGAAAGTAAAGTTAGATGTCGATCCCAACTTTCACCTGTTTGACCTGTGCTAAGCCTGGAGTTTGAAAACTGAGTGTTGGTAAGGCCATTTTGGCCTTTGCTGGCGGCAGTGCAAATTAGTCACAGCTCTCTAGAAGGCTTAATGTACTCTGGGCCCTGGTGGCTCAGGTCTGTTTCTTGCCCTTTCTTCCAGTGGGGAGGGACTCCCTCCTGCAGGTCCATTTCCTAGACTCTTGTTGAGTGAGTGGTCTTGCAGGGCCAGAGTTTGGCAGGTGGGAGCTTTTGGGGGTGATAGGGGGCAGAAAAAAAGGAGAAACCAGGTTCTTTTGTAACCATTTTGCCTCAGGCAGTTTCTCTGCAGCTGCTCTTCCTTTAGGCTCTGCTCTTGCCATCGGGTATCTGTTGTTCTAGCTCCTGTCCTTCTCAGTCCCTGAGCTGGAAGTGCCTTCTGCCTTCAGCCTCCCAACAGAAGGGAGACCTCGTGGCTCCTCCTGGTCTCTGGGTTGTCTTAGTGTTTCCTGTTTTTCTGTCACATGTGTAACCAATTCCCTATACCAATTTCTCTCTGCTTTAGAGCCTCAAGATGGTTGTTTCCCTGTTTAGACCCTAATGTCAGTGGGAGTAATGGGCAATAGCTTTTAGAATCACACCTTAAGTCCTCAGACTCAACAATACAGTTCTAAGATTTAACGTGGACATAGTCATTACTTTTGAACTTTTTTCTTTTTCTTTTTCTTTTTCTTCTTCTTCTTCTTCTTCTTTTTTTTTTTTTTTTTTTTTTTTTTTTTTTTGAGACAGGGTTTCTCTGTGTACCCTGGCTGTCCTGGAAAACTCTCTGTAGACCAGGCTTACCTCAAACTCAGAGATCTTCCTGCCTCAGCATTGAGGGGCGTGCACCACCACCACCAGCTAGCTATATTTGTACTTGTTTAACATGGAGATACATTTTTACTTGTGTGTGAGGCAATAAAGGCAAAAGATTATTCATTGCCTTAAATGTCCATCAGCAGGAGACTTGGGAGAATAAATCTTAACATAGGGGATGGTGACTGAAGTTACAAAGTTGAGGAAAGAGGCAAATGAGTTGATACAGAGACTTCCATGGTGTTTTGCGAAGTTACAAAAGCAAAGTAGGAAAATATGCATTGTGTGCTAGTTTCTGTGTTTTTCTTTTTCTTTCTTTCTTCCTTTCTTTTTTTTAAGAACGTGCTCGAGTACAAACAAACATTCTGGAAGATTAAACAAGGAACTAAGAACAATGATCACCTGTTCAGAGAGGCTGATGAATTTAAGTGGAGAGGAAATGTTTCATTCCCTGTCTTTTTATTTCTTGAAATTGGATAAAGTTGAAATAAACCTGTCTTCATGTTTGCTAAAGTTAGAAAACAAGTTTCAGGGAAAAATATTATGCTGTGCTGGCCAGAAAACACCTTTTTTTTTTTTTTTTTTTTTTTTTTTTTGTTTGGCACAGTGGATGCCTGTAATCCCTGCACTTGAAGGCTGAGGCAGGGAGGGGGTGGCTTGCAGTGAGTTTAAGTCTAGCTTAAACTACACAGTGAGTTCTAAGGACAGCCTGGGCTGCAGAATAAAACCTTCTTAAAATAAAACAAACTATTCCTACAAAGCGAGGTGTGATAGGGCACACACCTTTTATCCTAGTACAGAAGG